GMACTACAAAATGCTCTCCGTGCGGAAAAGTATCATGAGCATGGGGTGGTGCTGATCAGCAAGRAAATAAATCTATARGAGTAGGATGCCAAACAATCTCTAGAGTCCATCCATCTGCAGAGTCCTCACACCAAGGCAAGACCAAGCCTAGGCGCATGCTCAAGTGATGATGCCAARCTCGGGCGAGCGTGGGCGCGCYCCAAAAATAGTTGTACCAAGCATRGGCGCGCAAGGGYGCGCACTCAAAAGGCAACCCCGAACATGGGCGCGCATGGGCGCGCACTCAAATAGCAATGYCGASCATAGGCGCRCGTGGGCGCACACTCAAATAGCCATCCCAGGCATGGGCGCGCGTGGGTGCGCACTCAAATAGTCATGYCGAGCATAGGCRCGCATGGGCRCRCACTCAAATAGTAATCCAAGGCATGGGCGCGCATGGGCACGCACTCTAATAGCAAGGTCGAGCATAGGCGCACGTGGGCGCGCACTCAAATAACAATCCCAGGCATGGGCGCGCACTCAAATAGTCGTACTAAGCCTGGGCGCGCATGGGCGTGCACTCGAGTAACAATATCAAGCTTGGGCGCACGTGGGCACGTGCTTAAATAACAATATCAGGCCTGGGCGTGCATGGGCGCACACTCAAATATTAATACCTAGCATGAGCGCGCATGGGCGTGCACCCGAATAGCGATACCAAGCTTGGGCGCACACAAAAAAATAAATCAATATCAACCTTGGACGAGCAAGCGCGCGCAACTAAACACCAACCTTGGGTGCGCACTCCGCCGTATAAAATAAATCTCATTGGGCGTGGTTATGCAATGCTCGGCCTTCACTCAGGGCCAGGATGCTGTTGCCTGCTACTTATGTGACCACCCTTGACCTTCACTTAGGGCCGGACACTGTTGCCTGCAAAATGCGTGATAAAATGAGTCTTACCTTGCTTGGCCTCTGGGTGTAACACTTGGCCTTCACTCAAGGCCGAGGCACTGTTGCCCGTCGTGTGGATGATCAGCTGAGCAGGAGCTGGTCCCACAGATAAATGAATAAATGAATAAAGAAGCAAAACCACGTCAGTTGTGCCCTACAGCTAAGTGCAACACTCAGTCTTTGCTTAGGGCCGAGGCACCGCAGCCTGTTGCGTGTGTGACCAGCCAAAGCAAGTGTTCGTCTTATCTCAATAATTCAAGCAGCTGAGTGCACCACTCAGTCTTCACTTAGGGCTTAGGCACTACAGCTTGCTGCGCGTGTAACCAGCCAAAGCAAGTGTTGGTCTTGTCTCAAGCAGATGAGTGCACCACTCAGCCTTCACTTAGGGTTGAGGCACTACAACTTGCTGCGTGTGTAACCAGCCAAGCAAACGCTGGCCATAAATCAATAAACTCAGACAGGTGGGTGCACTTACTCAGCCTTCACTTACGGCTGAGGCACTGCCGTCCGCTGCGCATGTGACCAGCTAGACATAAATAAGATAATTGACTTGTATGCCAAGCTCCTAGATGCTGGCGCTTTGACTGCAAAATCGATGTCCTCATACGGATATAGTATTCGCATAATGGCCATAGTTCACGGAACAGATGCCAATGGGCATCGGGGCAACTTTCATAACTTGGGCGCACCCTGGCGCACTGTTCAGCTCTCAGATACAATGTGTGTGTGTGTGTGCGCACAGTTCAGAAAAACAGTCTTCAAAAACATGGTTCCCTCAGATACGGCGCGCGTGGGCGCACAGTTCAAAAGCCAGGTATAATACGAGCGAGCGCACTGTTCGAACACGATCCTCAAGCATAGTGCGAGCAAGTGCACAAATCAGATATAGCCCACAGACATGGCGCGCACTCACGCACAGTTCAGATATAGCCCACAGGCACGATGCGCGCAGGCGCACAGTTCAGGTACAACCCACAGACACGGCGTGTGCAGGCACACAGTTCAGGTACAGCCGAAAGGCACAGCGTGCATTGACGCACAGTTCAGGTACAACCCACAGGCACGGAGTGTGCGGGCGCACAGTTCCGATACAGCCCATAGGCACGGCGTGCGAGGGCACACAGTTCCGATATTGCCCACAGACACGATGTGGGCAAATACACAGTCCAAATGTCGTTCTCAAGTATGGCGCACAGTTCATATATAGCCTTCAAGTATGGTGTCAGCAGATACACAGTCCAAATACTGTTCTCTGGTATGGCGCGTGCGGGCTCACAGTTCATACACGACCCTCATGTATGGTGTGCGCTGGCGCACAGTTCATACATGGCCCCCATGTATAGTGTGCGCTGGCGCACAGTCCAACAGCGTTGCACATAGCCGACCAGGGAGTCTGGCAAGTGCAGGGAGCACACAGATGGACTTAGCAGCTCACTAAGGCAGGTGGGCGCCCATCAGCCAACAAAGAAGTAAGTGATTATGACACATGAGAGGTAAGCAGTCGAGAAGGAGGCAATGAGGAGCGAGAGAGAGAAAGGGGGAAGAGAARGGAAAGAGGAAAGGGAAGGTGAGGGGCARAGAGAGAGCAACTGCACAAGACTGGTGACTRGGTGGGTCCCCGAGAGACCTTCCCCTGCCAACCTTGCCCCTTCCTTTCCTTACCTCTGCCCTTGCTTGCCTCGGTTTTGTCCTCTCTTGCTCATAACTCCAACTCTTGTCACGCTCGCGTTAGCATGTCGCCGCTCCTTAGGTCATGCAATACCCTAAGCGGTGTGTCTCCCGTCTCTCGTCGTTCTGCCAGCATTGCTGCATTCCGCAAGTGAGAGCCTCTCTCTCTCTAGTGACACGGCCTCTTCTTTATAGCGGAGAGGCCAGGTGATCGGGTGCTGGATATGGCAGCGCCATGGTCGAGGCTGGTGCTAAAATTTGACCAGGTCAAAGTTAATTTTAGCACCAGTCCCGATCTTGGGACACGAAGGGTCAGCCTTAGGTAGCTGAACWGTCAGTCCCACGCTKAAAGTAGTGTGGGACTGCGCTAATTTTAGTATGGGACTGGTGCAGGCCCAGTCCCCAGTARWTGAACATTCAGTCCCATGCTAAAAATAGTGTGGGACWGTGCTAWTTTTAGCACGGGACTGGCGCTGGCCCAATCCCCGRTAGATGAACAGTCAGTCCCACGCTWAAAATAGCGAGGGACTGTGCTAATTTTAGCACGAGACTGGTGCTGGCCCAGTCCCCGRTAGATGAACAGTCAGTCCCACGCTAAAAATAGTGAAGGACTGTGCTAATTTTAGCAAGGGACTGGCGCTGGCCCAGTCCCCGGTAGATGAACAGTCAGTCTCACGCTAAAAATAATGTGGACTGTGCTAATTTTAGCACAGGACTAGTGCAGGCCAAGTCCCCGGTAGACGAACAATCAGTCCCACGCTAAAAATAGCGTGGGACGGTGCTAATTTTAGCACGGGACTAGTGCAGGCCCGACTTTGGGAAACGAACAGTCAGCCCCGTCCCTAAAATAGCATGTGACCCTATTTTAATCATTTCTAGGGCCGGGTTATTTAATTACTTGACTGTTTTGGGACTATTCGACTTCCTACCGGATTACACGGCCGTGTCGGTCCGGTCCCAAATAGTCACTCTTGAGTATCTCACTAACCCTAGGTCTGTTTCAGGTGTCGTTTGGACCAGACCCCACTAATTCCCTTCTTGCGGTCGCGACGGTTCAGTCCACATGGGACGATCAGACTCCCAGAGGGTTGTACTGCCACGCCACCCCTTTTCGTGACTTCGGCCCAAGGGAATTTCGACCGATGCGCTAGGGCCTAACTGACCGCGGTTGTGGACATTTCCATGGCGCAGACTTGACGTAGCGTGGAGGTTCACCAAAACGAGTCGACTTCCGCTGCTGTGTCACGTCGTCTTCCGACACCGCCTCCGCCATCCCACCTCCGCCTTCCCGCTGTCCCGCCTCCGCCATCCCGCCCCCGCCATCATGCCTCCGTCGTTCCGCCTCCGCCATCCCACTTCCACCGCCATCCCACCTTCCTGCGCTTCCCGCCTCCGACACACACACATGCGCGCACACACACACACACACACACACACACACACACACACACACATACACAAATACACACAATCAACAAATCAATCAATCAATCAATCGATCAATCAATCAATCAATCAATCAATCAATCAAACAGTCAATCAATCAATCAATCAATCAATCAATCAATCAATCAATCAATCAATCAATCAATCAAACAATCAATCAATCAATAAATAAAAATGTTCGTTGATTGATTGATCGATTGATCGATTAAGTGATTGTTTGGAAAAAAAAACAGTCAATCAATCAATCAGTCGATTAAAGGATCAATCAAGATGTTGAATGATAGATTGATTGAATGATTGAAGGATTGTTTGATTGATGGATTGATTGATTGACGGATTTATTGATTGAATGATTGATTGATTGATTGATTGATTGATTGATTGATTGATTGATTGATTGATTGATTGATTGATTGATTGATTGACCAGTTGATTGATTGATTGATTGATTGATCGATTGATCAATTGTTTTTTTTCTTTTTAATCTTTTCTTTTGCGTTGCACTAATCCATGAGTTTTATTGTGTGTTGATGCAGGTGGCGCCGTCGTTCGGCCAGTCGTGGCGGTGGAAACCGCCGACCAAGGCACAAGCCGGGAGGTGCACCAGCGGGCGAAAGGCGGGCGTTGATGTCGATCATCGGGGCCGAACAATTTTCAGCATTTTTCATAGGCGTTTGAATGCCCGTTGAACGCCCGTTAAACGCCCGTTGAACGTGCGTTGAACGGGGTTCGACGGGGCGCGCCTTTGGAGGGGGTACAAAATGTTGTGCAAACATACCCGCGAACATGAGCCTGCGCCCAGAAATGTGCAGCAAGATTATAGGCGCAAGTCTGCGGTGTACTGTTACATTGTTGTCGGCCAGAAGGTCGACAAAAGGGCGTTAACATACAACGATGCACCTTCTGCAATAAGGCGTTTCAGGAGACCCGGTACTACGCAACGAGATACGTCGCCGAGGCACACTATTGCAAGAAGGTGTCCGACGAATTGTTGTACTAGATTGCGCAAAAATGTGGACACCGCTTCGAGGCCGACCAAATAGAGAGGGTCCGATGGTATGCACAAGAGCGTGGTCTCGATGTACCGCAGTGTAGTGCAATGGGTGGCGAGGCGGAGCGTCCTACACAGGGCGTGGCCGAGGAAGAGGATACCCGGCGTTCTGAAGAGGGAGGTGTTGGGAGATATGAGGAGGGTGCGGGTGCTGCGGAGGTGGACGAGGCAGACTTCAAGCTTGAGGTTGGCGTGGTGGAGGGGGGGCAGACGCCGAGGGGAGAGGGGGGCGTGCATGAGTTCGATCCGGTGACTTGTCAGAGGACGAAGGGCTGGGAGTGGAGCTTCGGGAAGAAGCTCATCCCGCCAGAGCCAGAATGCACGTCCAGTTCTTCGAAGACGCCTGCTCCCATAACCTCATGCACGCCGGGTTCTTCGAAGAGGAAGGACGGGGGTGCACATCTTTCTGCCACCAATGCAGGGAAGAGGCTGCAGCAACAGAAAATGACGGACACGTATGGTGGCAAGTGGATTGGTCAGTGGAGGAAGGCATTCTTTCGCTGGGTGTATTCCAGCGGGATTGCCTTCAATGCCTTCCGCAACAAGTCGTGGAGGGACCTCCAGCAGGTTGCTCTTCAGCAACCTGGTGGAGCACCTCTTCCCGTGCTTCCCTCCCACAGCGAGATCGCAAGCATGCGAGCTGTGGAGATCCACCACGAGGAGTTTGCGGATGTGTTGGAGGAGGTGAGGCAGCCATTATAGGTGAGTGACACTGTCGGCGCGAATACCCTTACAAGGTTTGATTTTGGGCGTTGGCCGCGCGTACCCCCTATGCTACAGCGAACGAGAAACGCCCTCGGCTGGTCCACCTCTGCAATTGCATACGAAAAACCTTCACATGTGGTTCAGTAGCTCGGCGGGGATACGCCCACCTAAGGGATGGTGACAGCTCCTTTAGGTGGAGGTAGCGGTGCCTCGCGTGACCCTGTCCTGTCGTAGGAGCTCGCGAGAGGTACGGCTGGCGCACTCGGCCGGAGCGGCAAACGCTCTCCGCGACAAGTCCTGCCAAATCGTGCGTGACGCGGCCGGTAGGGTCCCCGTGACGGACCGATGCGCTCGATAGCGCCACCCTCCTCTCTGACGAGAGGAAGTCACGAAACGGGCGACTGATCGTGAACTTCCTTGCAGCTGGGTCTCGAGGGGTCGTCATGTACATGACGATCAACCGAGAGGGCGAGCCGGACGATGAGACGCGTGTCCTCCTGAGATTGATCACCATCTTTCACGGTTTCAGGTTCGGTGGCCCACAACGGGTCAATGCTATATGCACTGACTCCGCCTCTGCGTATGTGGGGGCTGCGAGGGCTTTGGCCTCGGCAGCTATGCCCCCTGAGCTGAGGAGGATCACTTGGCTCCCGTGCTGCGTCCATGTCTGCAACAAGTTGTTGTCAGACATTGGCACGATCTGGACCTCTTTCATGGACACGATCACGCATGCCCAACTTATGGTGGTGTTTTTCAAAACCCACCAGGCCGCTCTCAGCTTCTTTCGAAAGCGCAGCGGGGCGTTGGGGCTCGCGCATGCGAGATGGGATTTGCGTCCGTGTACTCCATGTAGGAGAGGCTGCTCGCTCTTCAGGATCGTTTGCAGGGCATGATGACAGCAGAGGACGGGCGAGCTTGGGCTAGGATCTAATGGTCCCCCGATGTCCGCGACAGGGCGCGTTGGGTGTGCCGAGAGATCAGGTGGTCCCCTTCGTGGGAGAGGATGCGTGCCATCAAGCACGTCATGGATCCCGTCATGGACTTGCTGAGGCAGATGGACAGTGGCAGGCAGTTCATGTCCCTCGTTGTAGAGTGGACTCGGGATCTTGCACGCCTTGTGCGGGACGCTTGCATCCCTCTTGGCCAGTCCTTTTCTGACCGTGTCATGAGGCGTGTGCAGGCCCGTATACAGCTAATGATGAAACCTGCACACTGCACCTCGTTCTTACTGAACCCCTGTCGCCGGGATGTGCAGTACTTCCCCGCGCAACTCGACCAGTACCACACTTGGCTGGTTCGACAAGCCAAGAGGTATTTGTTGTCTCAGACGGGCTACGATGAGTCGGGTGGTCATTACCTTGAGGTATGTCGGTAGTTCGAGGACTTTCACATGCAGCAGGGTAGGTATGGGACATGGGGAGGGGGAAAGGGCCGCGCTCGAGCGTGTAGTTGCAGCGGAGACTGCAAGACGTTGGAGTGTGCATCGTGGTCGTCTCAGTACGGGAGATACGCGCCCAATTTACAGCATTGCGCCCTTCGTTTGATGCACATGTGGTCCTACGCCTCTCCAGCGGAGAGGAACTAGGCGGTCCACGAGGGCATCCATACGAAGAAGCGCAATCTGTTGGCCTTCGAGAAGGTCGTTCATCTTGTTGAGATCACCGCAAATGTGCGGTTGATGGAGTATAGACGTGCAGGTTATGGATACGTCCTCCCTTGGCAGCGAGACGAGGGCATGCTTGACGCTCAGGAGGGATTGGACTTGGAGCCTATGCGCTCGGGGACGAGGAGTGGGATGACGGAGCAGGAGATGGAGGAGCAGGTTGCCCTCATTACGCGCGATCCTATCGGGTCCTCTGCATCGCCCCCTGTTGAGTCTGTTTCCGGTGCTCGTGCGGCTATCTTCCGCCCATACCCTAGGGACGATTCCTCTAGGGACGAGAGGGAGACGGAAGCAGCGGACGACCCCATGCTTCCCATCCCGCGTGAGATTGACGAGTTGCACGAGGAGGGCGACGTGGGTGACGAGAGGACGCACACCCCGCGGGGGGGGGGCAGAGCAGGGAGACATAGATATGATGGGGGGCGAGGAGCTCTGGGGATCTTTCAGGGGCACGGAGGAGAGATCACCCACTACCGCGCAGGAGGATATGCGTCCTCGCACGACCTTGCGGGAGGAGACGCCTGCTCCCATGACTGCGAGTGAGGAGTCGGGTCCTACCACGACAACGCGGGAGCAGACGACTGTTCCCTCCACCGCGCAGGAGTAGACGCCTGCTCCCACGACCACGCGGGAGCAGACGAGTACTCCCGCGACGCAGTCCGCACCCTCGTCGCCGTTGCCTCTTTCGCGTCATTCTGCCCCAGCATCCGCTCCGACCGCTCCCGTTCGGCATGATGAGCGTTCACCTGCATCGGTTGGGAGGAAGGACTTGGGATCCTCGTTGCGCATGCGCGGGCAATGTCAGGCATGATCATTGTTTAGCGTAGCCTGTCAGCTCCTTTTTGGACCCGCATGCATCGAGGGATTTGGGGGAGGTGGGTGTTCATAGCGGGGCACCACCGGTGGAGGAGAGGGAGAGACGAGCGGAGGAGCACAGAGCCGCCGGAGCGGGCGGAGTTGAGGATATTCGGGGTATGGAGGAGGAGGTAGCTGGAGCAGTGGGGGGCGTGGTGGAGGTAGATGATGGTGCGCACGTTGAGAGAGAGGAGGCCATGGCGAGGGTGCATGATGGTGAGCAGGTTGAGAGAGTGGAGGGCGTGCTGTCGTCGGAGGTTGAGAGAAAGCACAACGTGGTGAGGACGCAGGTTGAGAGAGAGGAGGGTGTGGCAGGGGTAGATGATGGTGATGCGCATGTTGAGATGGAGGAGAATGTGGTGAGGGTAGATGCTGCTGCGTTGGTTGGGGGAGAGGAGGGCGTGGTAGGGGGGGACGCTGCCCATGGTACAGGAGAGGGAGGCGACCACCATGACTTGATCGTCCAACGTTTCATCGATGACAAGATGGGTCCCGCACTAGGGGGTTTGACCCTGGGCACGAGGACGGCACTGGGGGTGGCGTCATTTGGGTAGAGGGGGGCTTCAAGGCTGGGGATGGGGGATTTCATGGAGATGTCTTTGGGAGATCCTCCCAGCTCTTGTCATGTAGAGAGAGAGGATATGGTGCGTGCCCGAGCGGCCGCCGACTACTCCACAGAGAAGATCGAGCAGGCATTCGCAGGACGCTCCGGGAGAGAGACAGACAAGCTCCAGCAGGGGTGCGAGGAGGTAGGAGAGCAGCCTCAGGAGGAGTGTGAGGATGCACCCGCTGCAGATATCCCTGGAGGTTGCAGTTCGTTGGTATGGTTCACGGGCCTGCAACTCACGACGACGACCCGGCCAGTTCGACCGTGTGTGCAAGGGTCAGGTCCTGGGGAGGTGGCATCTGTTCAGGTACCGCCGCTCATAGTCGTGGATTTAGGATCTGAGCCAGCGCTTCAGACACCGGTTAGTGGGCGGCGAGCTCCTCAGGATACAACCCGCCCATTGGATTTGGCAGAGCTCGCACGGGCTGCTATGCGTGACGTCACACGGCAGGAGGACACCGACCGTAGCAGACCACTCATGTCGCCTCCTCCTTCGAGATCATGTCACAGCGATCCCCCCTCGACACCAGTACGTCCGCCCCCCCGCTTACCATCCACGCCCGCGAGACGCAGGGTTCGTAACACGACGGTCATAGGGAGCCTCCCTCTTGAATGGTCGCTATTCGGGAGGACGGATATCGACCTGGACTCCACACGTCGGGTCACAGTGCACACTGCATGATGCCAGCCAGGTTTGGGTGGGGCTGACACCAGGAGGGGTGCGCCGAGGGAGGTCATGGCGGCAGTATCTGAGCCACGACATGTTTGTGGAGGTGGAGAGGCCGGTTCTACCTTGCAGGCCGCTTTGGCAGCAGCAGCACGTGTTGTGCGTGACCAGACCGCGCGCAAGAGCGGAGCAACTCATCCACGTCCCATGCCTGCGACGGGGGGTGCCGCATTGGGGGAGTTTTCTAGAGTCGAGCGGTTGGGGATGTTGTGAGGTTCACGTCGTGAGAAGACAGTCGCAGAGGTGACTCAGGTGAGTGCTAGGGTTGTTCAGGTGAGGACGGGGGCTGACCCTTTGACCATGGTGGAGGACGATCCCGAGACGGAGCCGGCACGTGAGGAGGCTCCACAGGAGGATGACGAGTACAGGGACGGCGAGGAGAGTGAAGAGGAGGAGAGCGACAGCAGGGAGGACGACCACTACGACGACAACGAGCCCTTCCCTCCACCACAACGCAATTCTCGTAGACAACGTCGCTCTAGTAGACGACGCGATGACGTCGATGACCCGTCCCCTCCAGGGCGGCGGGAGACGAGGAGTCGGAGGAGGCGTAGGTCATCCGTTGCGACAGCGCCGGAGTGAGGGAGTGTTTCATCGACACGCGGCACGGGTGGGGAGAGGCAGAGAGGCAGTGGTAAGGGGAAGGGAGGTCGAGGGTATTGAGAGCTTCCTTCCCCTTTCACGTCGCCTTTATGTTGTTTGTGCTCAGTGTTCTAACCTTTTTGTACATTGTTTAGGATGATGTACATATAGTTAGGTTTTAGGCACTTAGGACCAGTTCATGGAGTTCAGTATGCAGGTAGTGTCGTCGAAAGTGTTTTGGTTTATGTACGGCATTTTCATATTGTTTTTTAGTTATTGGGTTTTTATTAGAGGTGAGACCTCATTCCGACTCATCATATTACGTAGATATTTGTTAGGGTTTTCTTTTCAGATTTGTTAGTTAGCGGTGTAGGCTGCATCCCAACGCTTTACGGCCCCGTACGACTCGGCACGAGTGTCGACGAGTCGCCCACGACACATTTTATCATGCGACATGTATTCCATATTGGACTCGTACATGCGACTTCGACATGACTTTTGTATGACATTTCATGACTACTTCAACATGACTTTTGTATGACATTTCATGACTACTTCCATGTTCTTCGATGCGTTTATTCTTTTTTTTTTTTCTTTTTTTTTTTATGTGTGTGTGTGTGTGTGTGTGTGTGTGTGTGTGTGTGTGTG